GTGTGTGTGTGTGTGTGTGAGAGAGAGAGAGAGAGAGAGAGAGAGAGAGAGAGAGAGAGACAGGGTCTTGCTCTGTCACCCAGGAACCTGGGTTTGTGTGTGTGTGTGTGAGAGAGAGAGAGAGAGAGACAGGGTCTTGCTCTGTCACCCAGGCTGGATGCTGGATGCTGAGGTGCAGTGGCGAGATCATAGCTCACTGTAGCCTTGAACTCCTGAATTCAAGCGATCCTCCTACCTCAGCCTCCTAAGTAGCTGGGACTATAGGTGTGAGCCACCACTCCCAGCTAGAACCTGATTTTTAAATTGCTAGCATCTTGTAATAGCTCTTTGTATCATCTAGACAAGAACTTTACAAGTGACATGGTCAGTGTGCATTGGATGTGTCCCAGATGCATTTAATTGTCTTGAGATATTGACTTCTTCAATTACAGAGTAGCAGGAGTCCCAGGCTAGTAACTATGTGTCCTAGATGTGTCCCATTTGATGAAGAAATGATGACAGGCTGAAATCTCTGTCCTGTCTGTGTCTGATGGTCCTATGGGGAAGACTAGTAATTGAGTCCTAGAATACAAACTCCCAGCCTTAGGATTAGGAGTTTTGAATCCTTTTATTTGAGGTGGGAATGTAGACATCTTTTATTGAGAAACAAAGAACATGTACCTGGAGCTCTAATTCACATTTAGATTTCTTATCTATTATACGTGTTATGTCTGATGTGCATTATTAGTGTTAATGCCCTCAAAAATCATTGGAATTTGAAATGAGTGTCCACCATTCTGCTCATTTTGTTCATACCCCTTTAGTCTCTTGGAAATTAATTATGTTGTTCATCTATAATATATGCTGTCGTTTGATGAGATCACTTCATAATTTACCTCCCTCCCCCAACTATTTTCTTTCCAAGGTATTAAAAATTGAAACCAATTTTATTCTAGAAATACTTGTATTAGACTATTGGGTATAAAGAAGAAATCTGTCTCACTGGAACACAGATGTTTAACAAGTTTTACTAAATGAAGTTTTATTGGGACTTGGAAAGGTCTAACTTGTATATATGTCTGGTTACATATATAGACTGTGTTGTTGGGCTTTGGTTTTAGAATCCTTTTCTATTCTGATTCTTTTTTTTTTTGTTTTGAGTTGGAGTCTCACTCTGTTGCCAAAGCTGAAGTGCACGCTCATGGCCACCCCAGTGTCGACCTGCTGGGCTCAGGCGATCCTTCCACCTCAACCTTCCAAGTAGCCGGAACTACAGGCACGCGCTACTACACCTGGCTAATTTTTTGATTTATTATAGAGATGAGGTCTGGCCAAGTTGCCCAGACTGGTCTCCGACCTGTGGGAGCAGGCCATCCCCTCACCTCGGGCTCCCAAAGTGCTGGGATTACAGGCTTGAGCCACCACGCCCAGCTTTATTCTGATTCTTATACTACTTTTTTGTTATGTGATGTAGGAAATTTTCTTTTCTTTTCTTTTTTTTTGAGTTGTAGTCTCACTCTGTTCCCCAGGCTGGAGTGCTGTGACACACTCACAGTCACCCCAGCGTCAACCTGCTGGGCTCCAGCAATCCTTCCACCTCAGCCTTCCAAGTAGCCGGAACTACAGGCACACACTACCATGCCCGACTAATATTTTATTTATTGTAGAGATGGGGTGTCGCCAAGTTGCCCAGGCTGGTCTCAAACCTGTGGGCTCAGGCAGTCTACTCGCCTTGGCCTCCCAGAGTGCTGGGATTACAGGCTGAGCCACTGAGCCTGGCTGATGCAGTAAATTTTCAAACGACACTTTTACATAAAGAAAGAAAGACCAAAACAATGATTATTTGTTAGTATTTGTTGATATAAAATGTTTTGCAATATTGTTTGTGCTTATAAACAGAAAGCCATATTAAACATTCTAGGAGGCCTTCCTTTGTCATTGTGGCTTGTTGCTATTGCCTGTGTCTGTTTTCATTCACACAACTTCCTTTAGAGGACAACAGTTAGGAAAGTATCTGACCCAGTGTGTCTTACCTCGTTCTTCAGCCAGATGTGCTGAAAAGAGCAAGGATTTGGAAACAATAGCCTGATATCAGCTGTTTTGGACATTCTGTTTTGATGCTTCATCAAAAATTGACAAGTGTTAGTTTCTTAATAGTAGTTGCATTATTGATTCAGAAACCATATCATTGAACTGATTCTGTTACATTAAAATTCCTTGGTCTGGCTTGGATGTTTTATCCATGCATGATTTTGTACCTTCATTCACTGATTTATACAGATCTTCTAAATTTTAATACTACATTTCATTATGTAGTATTCTAAAAAAAAAAAAAAATCACTTTTTTTTTTTTTTTTTTTTGAGTTGGAGTCTCATTCTGTCGCCCAAACTAGAA